TGGCCGCGGCCGCCCTCCAGCCCGACTCCGGGCCGCTGCCCTGGCTCCTGCTGTCGCTGCTGCTGCTGCTGCTGCGCGCTAGCCCCGCGCGCGCCGACAGTAAGGTACGCGGCGCTCCGATCGCGCGCACCTAGGGGGAGCTGGGCGCGAGGGGGCGCTCCGGCTTGGGGTGCGGGCCAAGAGGGCGCCCGGAGCTGGGAAGACCTGGGCCGACCCGAGAGCGGAGGTTCGAGCTGGAGCTTAGCACTGAGGGGCCAGTTCCCCGGGAGAGGAGCGCGTAGGGAAAGAAACGCTGGACTGGGTGGCGGCGCTGGGCACCCAAGACTGAGGAGGACGGGCGCTGGGACCTAGTCCAATGCAAGGAGGGCCCCTCTGAAAGGGAGGGCAGAGAGGGGGCGCTGGGAGCTTAAAGGAAGCACAAACAGGTGGCTCAGTTCCCAGGCTAGGGACGGGACTCCCTCCCAGAAGCCAGGCAGGAGCGCTGTGCAAAGGCACCCTAACTGTTGGCTCGAAGTTTCCGTGAAAAGTTGACTCACATGGGGGCAGACTCGGGTAACTGCCATCCAGCGACTCCCAGGTTTGCAGTGGACTCTGGACCAAGGTCTTCGGGCTATGCTGGAGGACCCAGAGCTTCTGCCCAAGGGTCCAGTTGGTCTGGCGCTGGCTTGGCCTCGGGCTCCTGCACCCTTTCCAGGATGCTGGGTCTCCAAAGTGACCTGAGGTTCTCTGTTGGGGCAAAAGGATCTGCTCTGGCTCCCATTCCAAGAAGTCAAAAATCTCTAGTTAGCAAGATTTAACTGATCCATGATTCTGAAATCTTACCCCAGGGACCCCCAAAGGGAGTGAAATGAGATCTAAAATGTAGAAACACAGAGCAGAAACCCTTGTGGGGGGTCTGGAAGTGACCTGATGAGGACTGGGGGCAGAGGACGGGAAGGAGGGCCCTGTTCTTGGAGGACAGGTCAAGCACCTCTTTCCTGGGCAGGATGCCCTGTCCAGAGGCAGGTAAAGGAAACTGCTAAGTATATGAGCAATAGGAGACCCCGGCTAAGATTCAGCTCAGGGTCTGAAGACCTGCGGCTAGTCCTCACCACATGCTCTGGAAACAAGGAGGGAATGGGTCTCTGTGGCAACAGGAACTTTGTTTTGCTTTGTAGCCGGCACAGCTTTGCAAGGCAAGACTCTGCTGCTTGGGCCCTTGTTGAAAGCAGACAGGTTGGTAAAAGCTAGTCATGCACCAATGATAGGAGGAATAAGTCTGGACAGTGGGATAGGAATGGGAGACACAGGAGGACCTGGGAAGGGGACATGGTGACTCTGTCTCAAGAGACAGGTGCATCAGCAAAGTGTGATGCTATCACAGGCAGAGTTATCCCGAGACCACCATGGAGATAGTCACGGAACCAGGTCAACAGTGGCTGAGGTGCCCCTGCCGGCCTCATGATACCGGCCACATTCCGCAGATGGTCGGGGACTGCTCTGCTGGCATTTGCAGGTCCCAGTTGCCAGGAGTGGCAGGCTCATGGGAACCCACAGGTATCATTCTACTTTACAGTTGGGGAACCAGGGCACAGGTGCAGCTGTCTTGTGTGTCAGTAACCCCTAGGATCTGCCCATTGATTTATTTTTAAAGATTTATTCATGCATACCGAACTGGGGTACAAGCCAGAGGTGCAGGCCCGGTGTGAGGCGCGGTGAGAGGCTTCACCAGAGACAGAGCGGGGAGCAGAACAGGCAGATCGACCAAGTACACTGCTGAGGGGAGCAGCGGGAGGATCAGGAGAGGTCTGCTGCGCCATGTGGATCACCTCCGGGGCCAGGGATCGAACTTGCACGGAGCAGCTGCAGCCAGCTTGCAGTGCTGCATCCTAACCCATTGCACCACCAGGGAGGGCCCTGCCCATTGACTCTTCAGCTGTGTAACCTGAGGCAACAACTGCCATCTCTGGGCCTCAGTTCTCCCATCTAAAAAATAGTGTTTCCCCAAATTCTCTTCCATGTGTGGCCTTCTAGGATCCCCTGACCTCACTCAGGTAAGGGAGCAAGAGAGAGAGAACACACACACATATACACACACAAACCTGGATACCTGGCTGTTGCTTTGCACTGCTCCTCTCTCTAACTAGTATTTGGTCTTTGGCACCCTCTGAGCAAAGGGTGAGCTTGTGGGGGAGGGCTTGCATTCAAAACAAAGCAAAGACAAAGAAAACCCAACACCCTGTTTATCTAGTGAGTCAGCCAAACACTTGCTAGGTTGGGGGTGTGTGTTTAGTTGTCCTGGGGCAAGCTGGGGCTGGTGGGGTGAGGAGGACATCCTAGAATTTGGAGGATGAAGCAGCTGGGGACTCGGCACAGCACTTCCCCCAGACACCTCCCTTCAACCCCCCTCACCCCCCACCACCACTACTTCAGCCAGCTGGGAAAAATAAAAATCAAGTGATGGGTGAATTCACTCCACATTCCTCAGCACAGCCGGACTCCTGCTGGCTCTGCTGAGAAAGAGCTGTTTTCATTATCACCCTCTTCCTCCCCAAAACAATCCTCCTCCCGCTCCCAGTTTGTGCTTTGGTGGTGGGTGGAGGGAAACTCTTTGGGGGGCTGAGCTGGAACTTGAAGCTTCTCTAGGGCCCTAGAGGGTTAAGTTTGCCCCTCCACAGCGGTCCCCACTAGGAGGCTGAGCCTCTCCTCCCCTCCATACTTTCTGGGGCACCGGGACAGCTCGCCCGGTACTCACCACAGAATTCTGTGATCACCGCCAGCATTTTGCTCAGCCTGTTTTGATTTCATGTTTATAGCAAGGTCTCTCCTAAACAGGGTTTAGCGTTTCCATCTAAGGAAGTGCTTCGTCCAGCTGGGGGTGGAAGAAGGGGTTCACACCTCCCCTGGCATTTCTGAAGGGGTGCTCGTGTGGAGGTTGGGATGGACACACGTGTAAGCACCCAGGCTCGGCAGCAGCCAGGAACCCGCCTTTTGCTGTGTTCTTAGAAGATGGCGCAGAAGTCTCCATTTCTACCTCAGTTTCCCCACCTGTGAAAAGTCTGCTTCCAGATCATCTTTGGCTGGCCCTGGCTGCTAACCAGGACAGCTTGAGGACAGAAGAAGGTCACGGCCGAGGGAGCTGGGCCAGGGAAGCAGGAGGAGCTGGTAGCAGGCAGTGCAGTCCTGGGCTGGAGCAGATGTTCTGGGCTGGTCAGGACGTCGGTGGTGCTCCTGAGCTCTGTTCCGGGAGCTTCTGCCGGTGGGAGTAATTGGACAGAGAGTTGGAACAGGCAAGGGCTGCCCATTGAGGGTCCATTTGCACACACAGAGTGTGGGGCCTAGCTAAACACCCCCCTGACCCTGCCAGTCCTTCTGCCTGGAAGGTCTTGGGATCCCTAAGGAGCATCCTATGTGCCAAAGCCCTTGCCCAGCACACTTAACCAGGATTTACACAAGCTTCCTCCCCATTTGACAGACTCCAACAAGAGAGTCAGGTTGGGGGTGCTCAAATACCCTCCACAGGAGCTGGAGGAGTCTGAAGAATCCCAGCGCTCCAGGACCCCCAGCCTTTATTGGGCATGCCTATATCCTGGGGCAGCCTGAGAGAGCCTGAGTCTAGGGGAGGTGCAGTAAAGCCAGGACATCTCCTTTTTCCAGGCACACTCCAAGTAATTCTGAGGCACCTCCCCCAGCTGAGAATGCATGGGAGTGATAGGGAGCCTGGAGGCTTGTGGAACAAGAGTCACATCATCAAAGGGTAGTTTGGAGAAGATTAATCCAGCAGAGAGAGGGCTGCTGTGTTGTCCAGGTAACAGTTAATGTGTCCTGAAGATGGGCTGTGGCCCTGCAGTGGTGAGCAACGGGTGGAAGTGGGAGATTGGATGAAGAATCAGAAAGCTTTGGCTTACAGGTTGTTAAGTGTAAGAAGGAGGGGCCCTCCCTGGTGGGCACGGGGTGAAGCATAGCATTAAGAAGCTGTCCACAGCCACTGCGGCAATTGGATCCCCGGCCAGGGAGTGACCCACATGGCCTGCAGACCTCTCCTGTCTCCCCCCTGCTCCCCTCAGCAGTGTGTTTCAGTCCGTCTGCCTGTTCTGCTCCCCACTCTGCCTCTGGTGAAACCTCTCAGCAACCTGTACCCCAGTTCTTGTATGCATAAATAAATAAATCTTTAAAAATAAAAAAGTAAGAAGGCAGGTGAACATGATTTAGAAGATGACATTGGGTCCAGGAAGACAAGGGAAGGAAGACCCAACCCCAAGACCACACCATAAATCTGCCCAGTTTCTGCACTTCACAGCTTGAAGCTTCCTGCTGTCTTTCCCCATCCTCACCAGATTTATCCATCTGTTCAGGAAAAATCTCAAGTAGACCCTCTCACCATCTCATTTGGGGTTTCCTCAAAAATATCCAGGCACCTAAGTAAGCACAAACCACCCACACTTTGGGGGTCTTTGGCAGCCGTGTGTGCCGAGCAAGGCTGCAGGAACAGGAGGCGGGCGGAGTGGGGGGCTGAAGCAGGGACTTTCCTGCTCAGCAGCAACTCCAGTCCTCCAGCCAAGGGCAGGGTCGGCCAGGCCCAGTGACACCCCTAGTTCGAGGTAGCCCTCCCCTCCATGACCCAATGTAGCTCATTTACTGGTGGGAAAACCCTGGCCTGGTGACTCTGGGTAGCTGTGGAAGGAGCACCCCATGTAGACCAAATTTTGAGTCAGCCTGTGCTATGTGACCCTGGGCAAGCCCCTAGCCTTCACTGATGCTCAGCCTTTCCTCTCCAAGAAGGGCTTGTACTGAGAGCAAAGAAAGACTAAAAATAATGTGCAAATGTGAAGGGATATTGCTGGCAGTGATTTTAATAGCAGGTAGCACTTGGCATGTATGGATTCCTTTCTGCCTCAGGACAAGCTAGTAAGGAAAGGATGGTTATCTTACCCATTATACAGAGGGAGCTGAGGCTCAGAGGGTTTGAGGCCCTGCCAGGAGGCAGGCAGTGTGAAAGCTGGGATTTGAGCCCAGGCCTGGCATTCTACCACAGGACTGCCGCCAGTCAAGCCCCTAGGAGGTACCAACCACAGGAGGTAGGGCTCTCCAGGGGGCTTCTGGAAGCTGGAGCTAGGAGCCAAGG